CGGAAGAGCTGAGCCTGCTTTTTTTTCAAGGGGCAGGCACTAGTTCGGGCCTCTCTCATCAGTCCAACAGATTTTCGTGAAACCTATGGGAGCTTCATAATCTTTGAAGTTTGTTACCCTCTAGCAAATCTGGTTGAAGCTGGACAACAGATTTAGAAGATACTTGCAGGGAGCAGGCATATGGTGTGAGTGCATAAGCTCTATTTCCACAAGGACTGGGGAGAAAACAAACTAAAAACAGCATGAATTGTCTCGTATGCTTTTATGGAAAATGCTGGTGGATTTAGTAGGGATCAGTCAGTCTCACGTGGGTGTGGATCTGAGAATCTGATAAAATGAGGTAACCATTCTAAACCAGTTATTTAATGAGAAAGAATATTTTTTCATGAAAATCTAGGATATCGAATCAAGTCTATCTGAATGAATTCTATAGCAGGTACTTGGAGTTTAGGTGGAAGTTCAGACCATTTGGTCAGAACAAAGTTCATCAGCTGAAGTCAGCTGATTTGTGCCTGGTGACACCACATGTGGTTTCGGTCCTCTGTCTTTCTGGCATAAGGTGAAGCAATAATTAACATCTGGATTTTGGGGAGACATCCAGAAACTCATCGAACTTACAGATGTGTAAGAGAATGCATTTACAGCTACGCAGCTTGCTCTCCTACAGGAGATGGATGGGTCTGTGTCTCTGTTTCTCACCGCTCCCTCCTTGTGTTGGGAAGGGATAAAGGTGGCTCATCCCAAAGCTGGTAGAGGTTGTTTCTGAGATAGTTTGCATAAAATTCTCAGTCAGGCTAAGCTGGAATTTTAGTGCACGTGAGAGCAGCCCTAAGATCCAGGGCTGTAATTAACTAGATTTATGATGAATAAAGAGATCGGACAGGATCAAAACAAATGAAACAGCATGCACTTCTAGTTTTATATTCGCTACTGTTTCGGATAGGCAGATTCAGTCTGATTGCACAGCAGTATCAAAGATTTCCATTTCTGGGCAGCAGATTTCCCCCTCCTTCTCCAGCTATCAGCTTGTCAGATATTTCAAACTGGTTGGACATATGCCTTTACTGTGTGTGGTGTGTTCTCCCCTCCCTCTGCCTTTTGTCTGCTAGGCCTTTCTAGCACAGGAATGTATTTTATAGCAAAGGTGCAGCATTTCATTTTCATACCTGTCGTGACTGTCAAGGCTAGCATTTCAGCGGTGTGGTATTTGCCCAGGTGTACGAGTGACAGTCAAGGGGTGGGAGAGGGAGCGTGAGCATCTCTGTGCTCCATACAAAGCTGTCTGTACGTCAGCTAACATCCCTCTGGCTACATCTATAGGTATTTCCTGATTTCCTCTCTCAGAACTCAGTATTCCAAGTAATCCTTTGTACTTACCTGCATCTTAGGTAGCCTAAAGGACCAAGGTGTTTGGGTCCTGGTTTTCCTGCCCCTTGTCTCTGACTCAACGTGATAGAAAAACCAAGAGTAGTTTCCTTCTGAAGAGACAGGATTTACATTCCTGGGCTTTTTAATCTGTGTGATTTTCGTTGTCAGTATTTTTGCTTGGTATCAAATGTGAACAGAGTAACATATATTTTCCATAGTGGCTACTTACGCAGGGGTGTGAATATGTTCTTTTTGATTGTTGCACCAGGTTCTAGGCAGTGATGTCCTACCATGTCTAAAAATCAGCTATACTGAAAAGCTTGCTTCCATCTTAAACATACTGGACTATGCTCTGATTTTAGCTGCAGAGACTTAAATCTGGAATAAGACTAATTGATTTACATCTGATTTACGCCTAAGCAACGGAGATAAAATGCTGCCTCATTTCCAGTACTGGCTGTAACTCTGTCTCTTCTCACCAATGCCCCTCTTGCTACACAAGCCTTCTCCTCTGTTGTTCATGCCATCTGAAACAGTTTTCCTCTATTTATCTGTGTCCTTCGCTCCCTTTCCCAATGGAAATTTCACTTGAAAACATGTCTTCTTTCTTCACATCTCTTAATTTTTTTCTCCTGCTTTTCTCATCTATTATTTAGTTGTAGCTGTATTATTTTGGGTAGAGTTACAAAATTAATATAGAGGACACATTAAAATGGATCCAAGCCCATTTTCCGTGCCAAAATGCTCTCTGATCCTGAGAGTACTTGTATGCAACTATGCAGAAGTAGGGTGATGCAGCCGGGATAGGGATGGTGAGCAGCCCTGACCTACAAACCTAAGGAGCAGAAGGCAGAATTACCCGTTCTGGAGAATGGTAATAGGTCACCTGTCTTGTCCCTCTAATAAGGGCTGTGAGGGGCTGGATAAAGAAGTTAGGGAGTCTAGAACACCGCAGAAACCTTCAACAACAACAAAATGGGGAAAATTTCGGAGGAAAAAGCAAGAAATTGTGTGAAATAGTCAGTCTTTGAATGACTAGAAATAACTTTCAGAGCAAGCTTTAAAGAAAGAGCACGATTGCTACATTTCAGTCCTTCACAAAGCTTTCTCTAACTAATAGGTATTCCAAATGAATTTATTATTTTCCAAAACTTACAGGCTTCTGCAATTACGGTTCCTGTGTACCACAGGCCAGAAGCACATCGATCCTCACATTGTTCTCTGTTAACTACACTGTACTGAAAATATATAGACATGTCAGGTTGATTTTTCCAAGCTTTTTCTCTAGAATAATGAGTTCCTCCTGCATTTGCGTAACATAAGGTCTCTGTTTACATATGGCTTCTGAACATAATGCTAAAACTTCTTTTTTTGCTTACAAGTCAATGTTATTGATGCTTTCTTTTTTCATTGGTTTTTCTTCCTACTATAGAGAGGTGTCAGCTGGCAGAACTTGTGCATTGCAGTGTATTTCTCTCTCCACCACTTGGTCCATTTCTCGTTATTCCATAGGAAAGAATTTGTACCAGTTCGCTTCATACATATATATATCCAGTGGTACCTTCCTATGGGCTAATTAATTATATGCAACATGTTGCTTCTTAATGAAAAAAACAATGCTTAGTGCTGATAAGCAAATCCTTATAGAAGGTCTTTATATTTTTTCCTAAATTCTTGAAATGGAATTTCTCTGGTAGAAAAGGAAAATAAATCTCTTTCCCCACCCTCACTCTCCCATGTTTTGAGAATTTCCAGCTTGTTTATTGAGAGGAACTTGTGGGGCCTGAGCAGGGAAGAAATTCAGACCCAGTCTCTGAACCAAGCTGTTGCAGTTCCTCCATCATTGGATAGTTTGTTTATTTTTTGCTATGTAAGGGCCGGTTTCCAACATTTTATCCTTAATTTAGCACAAAAAGTGCACAGTGGGGCTGGCTTACCCCAGGCTTTTGTGTATGTTTTTGGTATGTTGGCATTGGTTTCCTTCGTGGTCTGATAGAGGACTCAAGAAACAAATGCGGCTTGTCCAAAATACACGCATGATAACTACCCCGAACATACACGTTTTGCTATTATTTCCACGTATATTTTGGCAGGCTAGAGAGCTCATTTGGCCTTCTATATATTTGGGCAAGGAAGGGAACTCTGTCGTTTCTCCCTTTCATTCTGTATTTTTATTTAACCATCATATTGTTCTTTTAACCTACATAAAGAAACCCTAGGCACTATCACAAATGGCAAAGATTATAATCAGTGACTAATATCCTTGCTACAATAAACTTTACCACCCCAAGCACGAGACATAAATAATACAAAAGGCCCTCTCGTATTTTGAGGAGCTGATACAAATATTATAATCATTGTTCCACAGTTAATGGTACGAAAACTCAGTAACAGTTAAGGACGTCCATGCTGAATTTAATTCAAAGCCAGCTGGAGTCTTTCCATTGAATCAATGTGGTTTAGATTTTACCCCAAAATAGGTAGGTAAAATTTTCATATTCAGTTTGGACTTTTGCTCCCTTTTGAACTCCTTAGCAGCTGAGCAGAAAACCCTTGCAGGGGTAGATAACCACTTGAGTGGTTATGAGATGACATGGTTGCATTAACTCTGTGTTTAGAAAATCCGTCTGCGTGCAGGTCCATGTCTTTGCCTAGGGCCCTGGGAGGATGCACTGATCATCCCCTGGAGAAGGAGCCTCTCAGCCCACCCGCCAGAGAGTCTTAACTGTGGTGGCTGTCTGAACGCTGAGGCAGGCCCAAAGCCTCACATGCACCAAAAGGAGGTCCTTAGGGGACAGGTGAAGAGAGTAATTTTGTTCTTCTCAGGACTGCACTTTGTTGAATAAACATTTTCTTCTCCTAGGTGGTATGTGTGCAAGCTGTGTGATGGGAGGCAACTGATTTTAACCCTGGCCTTTGCATCCAAACACTCTCTTCAGATTGGAGTGCGATCCAGTACAAAATCTGAGTGGGGCAATGGAAAGTTAATAAACTTCCTGTAATCCAGGTGGGTGAGTTTAGCCACTTTTCTTGTTTGTTTATTTCAGCAGTTTTGCTCTGCAACGCTAAAATGCAGGAAAATGGTTCAAGCTTAAGCAGAAGTGTCACAACAGTCAGGTGTGTTGACTGCCTCCAGCAGCTGTGAGGACATGGTGGGGTGCGTGTCGCCATCAGTGCACACGTCGGCGGGGAATACAAATAAAGGATGAGGTGCCTCAAAGACTTTTTATTAGCAGTAGAGCTAATAGTTACACTTGAATAAAAACGAAGACTCAAGCTGGCACAATTTATAGCTGACGCCAGCAAGGTGTAACAAATGGCCACGTTCCCAGGTTGCTCAGGGCATTATGTCTAGTGGCATATGTAGATGAAGGACTGGAAACTATTAAAATAGCTGACCAAAACCCATTGGGCAGTGAGAAGACAGAGCATGATCCTTACACCCCAGAGGGACTTGCGGGTTCACTCGCTCCTGGGGAGGAGATATCTCAAGGACAAGAGATTAACTTTGGATGAAGCATCTTAAGCTTTTTTTTCCTTTTTCTCCTTTTCTTTCCTTACAGTAAAGAATCACCATCTTTTGTTCACAGAGGGTATATTTTGACCCTGTGACTTAACGGAAGATCCTCTCTTGGCACTGTTGAATGCAAAACTGAAAAGGATATATACACAGCCGAGATTACGTATAGTTGGTATATAAGTACGGGAATTCAAGTAGCTTTGCATTAATATGAATAATTCTATTTTCTGCTACTGATATGAAAATTAGGGGCGGAGATTTGAGCCATTTTAATTTCCCTCTTTGCACGGAGTCTCTCTGCTTGTCTGGAGAAGACACACGATTGGTAACATTTTGCCCCCGGAGGGGTAAAACTCTCACTGGCCTTAGGTAGTTGAGATTTCATCAGGAGAAGCAATATCTTGATAAAAAATAGTAATTGAAATTAACTTTTGAAGCCTTATCAATGAAAAATATGACAGGCAGAAGGGGAAAAGTTCCTCACAGCAGTAGGTTTTTGGTGACCTTTTGCTTATTTGCTCAGAAAAATAATCTGGAATACGACATACCCCCTGTTTTTCTGAAATTAGGCAAAACATTTTGCGAGATTTTAGTGCTACGAAGGGATGCTCAGAGCCCACAAGGACAGCAACTGCAAAGTGTATTAATGCACTTTACTCTTCAAATTATACACGCCTGAAATCTTTCTACTGCTTAAGAAAGCATTAATTTTTGGTTTGTTTGAAGCTTTATTTCAGCTGCTTTAAAACTATGAGGGTGGTCTTAAAGTGATGAAGGGTCTCCTTAGCTGTCTCTTCAGCTGGTTTCTTTCAGAAGAAAACATTTTCTAGGCCAGAAATGTTTAAGCTGAGAATATATTTTATGCGAAAAGGTAGTCTTCAGTGCAGTTCCAGAAGTTAAGGCATTTAGATAGTTTATAGGTAAAGGCTAACAATTCTAAATAGCCAGAACTTCTGAGTCAGACCTCAGAAGTCATAATATTGGTGAACTTCCTAAATGGAGGGTTTGCTTCATTTTCTTGTTTCTTTTTGTTACCTTTAAGTTGTATTTTCAGATTTTTCTTCTTAACCATATGAGCTAGAAATTGGCTTTCAGTTTAAATAAAAACTGCAGTTCTTGCGTGATCTCATGAATCCAGGATCTTGTGCTCCGAGAAAGATATTGGCTCTCTTGAGACCTGAAAAACAAACAAAAATCCTGTGAAAATTGTCACATAGAAATCTTTATTAAAGTAAGACTGTCTTTGAAGTTAGTCACACACGTTGCTTGAGTGAGAATAAGGCCTAAGCAGGATCTTAAGATTCAGTGACAAATTGTTATCTGAGAAAAGAGTCACTTGATGAAACTATTTCATATTTAATCGTTGGGAAGTCAATTCCCTGAACAAAGGACATTTGTTTCACGGTGTAATAAATACCCAGTGCAAAATACAGGGATTTAACTTAATGGGAACCGCACAGTTAAAATTACCTTTCAAGGAGAGTCCTGCACATGGACATGTTGTCAGGGTCTTAGAAAACTCTGCTCCTCGTTTCGTTTTGACCTATTACGGGCCAATACTGGATAGTTTGTCACCAATTTTTCCCTCATTATATAACTGCGTCTATAAAACAAACATGACTTCAAAGAGAGACCTCCCCATTCTGCCCAGCTGAGCATTCGGAAAGCTTGCATGGCAGTGAGAAACACTTCTCATGTATATATTAAGTGCTACCATCTGTTTGGATTGTTTTGAAATGCCTTTTTGGGCCAAAGCCTGCCCTTCTGAGGATCCAGTTTAACATGAAAGTCTCAGCAGCTCCCTGAATGTGAATAAGGCAGCAGAAATCACTCCTTTTATGCCTCCCGATCATGCTCTTTAATTTAACTACGATAACTTTAACGGAATCAGAATAGCAGCTCCAAAAACTGAGCCCTTGATTATCTTGATGACTACCTCACTCCGCACAAGAAGTTGCACTGATTTCAATGACTTTCCTCCCTGCTGAGCCCGATATTGCATCAGGCAACAGAAACGGGTCAAAGTGGGGAAACAGTGAAATTTATTTCAGTTGTTTTTTGTTTTACTTCGCACTGTTTGTTTTTCTCCTGAGGCCTGAAATGGAAAAAAAATGGAAATTTGGGAAAAAGATGGAAGAGAAACATGTACATAAACTGGTTTTGTTCTTTTGGAACAGCAAGATAACTTTAGAATACTATATAAGGTGATATTATTACTGCCACACTTAAGACTTTCTGCCTGCTCTAACGAATACATTTCAAATGAAGTTACTTTGTCAAATTTACAGCATTTGGCAATTACAATTCCTATCTGTTATAAGCCAAACTTTATTTTTAGTCCTTAATATTGTGTTAACGACTTTATAATTAGCATATGAGTAGGGATAGCAAGTCAATTTATTTCAAGCTTTTTCTCCTGAAACACGACTTTCTTTTGTATCTGAATTATTCTCTATTTTTTGTAGTCTAAATTCTATCTTGTAACTTCCTTTTTTGTTTATGTGTCAAAGCCAGTGATTTTTTTTCAGTATCGTCCTGTTTTTCTCTCTCTGATTTTGATATATACCAGGGGGGAAAAAAAAAACCCTAAAACCTAATCTATAGCACATCTTTGTCACTATTTCCAAATGTACTTATTGTTATTCAGAAGTGAAGAATGTATTGTACTTGCTTTCCTGCGTATATCCAGCATGACTTCCTTTGTGTTACACAATTACACACAATACAAACCTCATCCTTACAGAAGTAAGTAGCATTGAGTTTTGATGTGTACTTAACTACTATACGTATTTCTGTTTTCCCCAGCTTTGTGGGTTTGTTCACTTTGAAAAAGAAAGAAAGAAAGAAACCCAAGAGGGTACAGGGAAATTCCACATCTTCAGCGTTCCTGGAAGCGCGGCTGCTCCCTCTAGTTGGTATGTGGTCTGTTTATTTTGTCTTTAAATTCACCTAAAATGCTCTAGGTTGGCAAATTTTAATCGAAACCTTCAAGCCCCGCCTGATGTGACGCGTCTCCGGGTTTGGCTGCTCGCTGGGTGGGTAGGGGTAGGGAGGAGATGTTTTAGGGGTGATGTTTTCGAAAGCCTCCAGGTAACTTGGGAGTCTGCATCTCCACTTAACTGATAGGCACTTAGGAGTCAGAGTCCACAAGGAAATGAGCGTGCCCACACACGCAGTTGCTTTGATAAGATGCCAGTCCTATCTCAGCCTGCACTGGTTGCTTGGTCCCCCGCTTGCCGGACTTCCAAGGCAGTATGGCTGGTGAGCCTAAGCCCCATCAGCTGCACGGGCCTGCACAACTTCCCTGCCGGATTATCTGCCACAGACCTGGGTAGTGCAGCCTCCTCTTTCACCAGTGGCTGGAGTAAAACAGCATTTCCTCAGAGTCGTGCACGCGCATGAACTAGCTCGGCCAACTGGTTAAGTTGCTCTAGCTGAACTGTGTGTCTGAGCTGTCACCAGCTACTTGCTTTGCTGTCTTCCTGAGTTGGATTAAATCGTTTCTGTGTTTTTCTCCATGCTCGTTACTGAGGACCGAGTTTAACATATCAAAATGTGACAGAGTTTAACCAACAGTGATTGTTACAGTTCTTAAAGGAGAGAAGGAATGGCCTGGAGAGGGGTGGGTGTGCTGCCCTTCTGTGTTAAGTGCATTCTCAGATATTCTTTGTGAAAAGTAAAAACGCAGATCTGCATCTTTGTTTACACTAGAAATATCGTGTCTTGACGAGCCTCTTTATCCTTATGGGCTCAGGCAACCTGGGGAGCTTTTGAAGTCTGACATCATGGAAAGTTCATCACCGAAGTTTTGAAACCTAAGATGCAGCGGTCCCACTGGCAGACTTAACTGGCCAGATTCAGAGGTGACATGAATGATGGGATAAGTTACATAGCAGTGAGCCAGTATAGCTTACACTTGGAGAGGTTGGAAGGGCATGGCCAGAGCAGCAAAGTCAACCAAGAGGTGGCTGGAGTGGAAGAGCACATTTAAGCAGCTCTCTGGCTTTGTACGGTAATGCTACCCTGAGTCCTCTGCTGTATGTGAAAGTGGAAGTGGTGGTGTAGGCAAGACAAAATAAAGTTTGTAGGTAGAGATGATGATGTCTTAATCAGCTACTCAGCTTTCAGGTGTACAGGCCACCACAAGGCAGAGCTGTCTTCTGTGACCTGAAGAAGGGTTTGTGTCCCAGTTCCTCTCTTTTTTCCCAGCGTACTTGTTGGTCTGCTAAAAGCTGTCATTTCCATGTCAGAACTTGCTTTTGCAGATATCCCTTCCCCGTGCGTCATACCTGTACTAGACAGCACCATGCCAACTGTCTCTGAGCGTGGTTTCATGTTACCTGATGTGGACTGCCTTTCTTTGTTTGCTTGTTTGTGGTCAGTGTTCTTTGCCCAAGAAATACATATATACACAGGCTTTATCTTTGTAAAAATAAATACAGGGCTATGTCTTACAATCCACTTGGGAACTGGATCTGGTCCAGAATGTGGCAGCTTGCTGTTAAACATAGTCTCTCTCCCGAGTGCTCGCAGTCAAAGCTCCTGTGCTGGCTGATCTCTGCCTTCAAGGCAGAGTTTATTTTGTTGGGGTTTTTTTTTCAATCCTAATATTAGCCATAAATGGAACGGGACTTGCCTCTCACTTTGAAGGATGCTGCCTCGTGTGTCCTTTGGGGCTTTCCAGACAAGAGCCGCAGCTCCAGTGTTAGCTCACTCCCTGGTCCTGAAATAGTCTGTGGATCTTCTGAGCAGTGGGCCCAAGCCATATTTTTTAAGCTGCTGATAGGTATGGGAGCTAGGGGAGCAGAACTTGCTCATGGCGGGGAGGGGAATTTGAGCCTGGGATGTCTGTTTTAGTTGGCAGGTGGTTGTTTTGGGCCTGGCTGCTTGTCTGCTCAAGCCAAACCTGCTGCTGTCCAGACTGTGTTTGCAATGTGTACATTGGGAGCGGAGCTGGTGCCGGGCTCCCTGGCTTTGGCCGGGGCTGCGGAGAGTGAAGGCTTTGCGCGGGTGCGCTCCACATTGCAGGGACGGGGCCCCCTTCTGACAAAAATCCCATGGGTTCAGATGTTCCCAAATCCCCAACTGTGTTTTTTTTCACAAGTGCAAAATCCAGCGTTACTGCTGAAACGAAACCTCGCATCCAGATGAGGTCACTGTGTCATGCCTTGCTCGAAACAGGATTTTGGACTCTTGCACTGAGGGGGAAGGGGGTGGCGGGCCCACAGATTAACTAGGCAAGTTAATGAAAAAGCAGAGAGGGAGGGTCATATAGAGAAGTAAAACTCTGGAAGCAGAAGTTTCCCTTTCCCGGACGATCAGGGTCTCATCTCTGGAAGTAAATCTGTCACAACGTGCATTTGAAGTCAGCAGAGTTAGTACGGATCTGCTTCCTTGTAACTAAAATCAAAGTCCTGTTGCAGATAGTCCCAGAGAAGGTTTTACCTGCCTCGTTTGGCCAAATATAGCGTTGTTTAGTGCTTCTCACCCCTGGGAGATGTGTTAAGGTCTATATGGGAACCAGAAGAAACGACTTACTTTTAAAAGTGTGTTGACTTCCGTTAAACGGCAGGGGCTTATGGACCTACTGAAGGTGGAGAATGTGGTTTGTAAAACTTGCTTCTCCTCCCGGGTGGGTTTTAATAAGCTATTCAGCTTTAGAGACTAGCCCCTCAGCTGTGTTTCATTTGAGCCCCAGATTTCCCTGTAGCCTATTTGCACCATAAGGAGCAGTCACATGCGCTGCGCTGTCTCATGTAAGGTGCTGAGCACCGCCAGTTAACCCGTACCCATCCCCAGGTCCCAGCTCATTAAACCATTAATGCTATCCTGAAAACTGGCACTGGAGAAAATATGAGTTATTCTTAAATCGTAACCAAATTCTGAAGCATTCTAAATTTCCAGTAACAGTAATTTTCTGGAGTTCCCCATTAAGGGGCAAAGACCTGTGTCCACCATGCTGGCATAAATCCAGTTTTCTTCAGAGGAAGTATTCTGGCTTCAGAAGGAATTAATTTTTCTTTCAGTACTCTTTTTTCTATAAAGTTAAAACTAAAAATTTCGGAAGGCTTTTGGGAACTCGAGGATGTTTTGTATGAAGCAAAAATATTATTTTCTTCTGATTCTAACGTAGCCTGTGATGCTTAAATATTTTGTTGATATTGTCTTTAGTTAGTGAACTGCCGCACACTTGTTTGAGGCTGGACTTATCTGAACTCCTTGATTTAAAAAACAAAACAAACCGTTAACTCCATGGTAGCACTGCTTGGGCGTACAGCTACTTAAGCAATCTAGGAATGAAGAATTTCACGTTCTTTAGTGCTGTGGTTACTTCATTAGCAAAACTAGCGTTTGTTAATCGCCGGTTTCAGGTCTCAATGAGATTTACCGTTAGGGTTAAAAACCATTATAAAGCCTGACCTCGTTACATAAATTACTAGCTCACAACAAACCAGACGTGTTATCTCGTGGCTTGGTGGAAGCAGTTTGCGGGAAGCCCTCTTTGGTATTGTGCTGAGCGTGTGGTGCAATCCCGGACACCGGGGCCCACTTGGGAGGCAGATGCTGTGCGTCCTGGGTCAGGGCATGTCACCAAGAGCAAGCTGCGTCCGTTCAAATGCGTTGCCAAATCCAGTTCCCACTCTGCTACCAGGGTCACCGTGGAGACGTTTCTGACTGGAACAGCTCATTTGAAAAATTAGATTTCAGCCTTTGAGCGTATATTGTGAGTTTACAGTTGCTGCTGCTTTAGAACATCTGTTTTTTCATAGCAGGGAAAAAACACTTCAGGAGAAGTTAAAAAGCCGAAAGGATAGCTTTGGCATTGCATGTTTGTTACGGTAGGACCTAGTTCCGCAGCATAGAAGGGTCCATCTATAAATACTTTAATATTATTTAATAAATTATGATGGCTTTTATAGCATACCTAATAATAACACTCAATGTTTCTGTATTTAACAGGCACACACGTTGTTTTAACGATATCTCCATGTTATATGCTTTGCAACAGCTTGTTATAGCTTCATCTGTTAGGTATTTACTACGTATTCTTTTTTTTTCCTTTGGGGGAAAAAAAAAAAGCTTCCTAATGCTGAGATGCTGAGGAAGGTAGCTGTATCTATTGAACATTTGACAAACATGATAAATCATTTATAAAAAAAGCCAAAATTTAAAGCGCTATTTATGAACAGACGTAACTCCCTGGGAGTAGAACTCGTCTTTTGCTGTCCGCCCTTAAGACACCCTCCAAAATGACCCTCGATAAGGTGGCCTGGCTCCCCCAGCCGTTCGCGTCCCGGTGGCGAGGGCGGCTGCGATGCAGCCTGGTGTGCTCGGCCGCAGGGTTCCCGCTGGCCCTGGGGGTGACTGCATAGCTGTAACACCGCCGAGTCCTTGTCCGCTGGTACGGGGGTATCCAGGCCTGCCCAGGCAAGAGGTGGGATGACCATACTTTGTGTCAGGACACCGCCTGCTTTGGCAAGAGCTTTCCCAAATCTTGCGTAACGAAATAGACCCCCATCTTCCTCACCTCCCATTTTTGCAGTGTTCACTGCACGTTTATGAAATAAACAGTGTAGTTGCTCTCCAAGCAGCAGTATCTGCTGGAAGATTTGCAGCGATGCTTTGTCCTATAGGCCCCCCCTGGTGAGCCTCAGGCTGTTCCCAGCCCAGCACTGACAACCTTCAGCTTCATTTATTTCCAAGGAATCTGAGGGCAGAGTTGGGTTTCTGTTACCAACAGGTAAGATGGCTCTTTTGAACAGCACTTTAGAAATAAATACCACCTAATACCATTGACAAGTTCCATGCATGTAGCGCTTAGGGGCTATTTGTTTTCTTGTTTTTTTCTCCCGAGGCAGAGGTTAACAGTTTACATCTATTGTTAAGTCCAGGGGAAAGTACCAATGCC